TGACGAATCAATGTCGCATCACCGGCTCCTCCGTTGACTCTATGCATTCCATGGTCTTCCAATCAGAGTCAATCACACATGTTACGTCCAGCATACCCTCAACGGCTTGTAATGTTCCACCACCCCCCCGACCGAGAACAGCCGCCCTCGGCTGTCTTTGTGTAAAGAGACCTTGTGCTTGTTGATACGCCGCTACGCACTCCTCGTCCCTCGGCGTCAACGCATCAGGTGTGATCTGCAATGCATAGAACACACTGAGATTCTCCACTTCTCTGTCATCGACCTCTGTTGGCCCCAGGTCAGCTAAGCAGATTCCATCGAGTTTGATGTCTTTCTTGTTGAGCATGACTAACTCCGGTTGTGAGTCACTTCTCTCCTCTTCTTCAGCAAGTTGTGATTGTGCCATCCTTTGGAGAGGAACCCCTTCCAACACTGGTCCTGCCGGCCCGCTCCCCCTTACTTCGCCAGCTCCATCACCCGGTAATGTGGTGTCGACATCGGGTTCGCCAGAGCCTTTCCGCCGGAGTGTCTGGAACGACATGGTCTGTTCCCCTTCTCCACTTCAAGACCATATAATACGCCATCATCTTTAGCGCCCAACGGTGCATCTTTGACGATAGGTTTTGGCTAGTGAAGAGCCACACCAGGGCCGCACAGTCCGTGATGAGAGTGAACTGACGGTGCTGAAAGTAAATCTTGAAATGTTCTAGTGCATACAACACTCCCAGAACCTCCCGATCGTTTGGCGACAGTTTTTCCTCTGACCTGGACAACCTCTTACTGGCGTATCCGACCGGAGCCTCTCTGTTCTCCACCTGCTGTGTCAGGACTGACCCTGCCGCGATCAAACTGGCATCCGCATGTAGCGTGAAGGGTTCCAGCCAATTAGGTAGTACCAGCACTGGGTATGTGGTCAGTTTCTCCACGAGTTTCATATACGCCTCAATTTTTGGAGGCCCCATGACGACTCGTTTGCTACGGGCTCGTTTAGAACTAAATTCCTTGTTCCTCAGGATGTCCGATAGTGGAGCGGCGATGGCGCTAAAGTTGGGTACGAATCCCCTCAAATAGTTGGCTAGTCCAAGGAAGGACCTCAACTCTCCCACCGTCGACGGCATTTCCATTTCTTGCACGGCTGTTACCTTCGATGGTGCTGGTCGAGTTCCATCCCTTCCGACCATGACTCCTAAGAACTCGAGCTCTGGCAATAGAAATTCGCTTTTCACGAAGTGACCTGTGTACCCTTTTCGTTTCAGGATAGTGAGGACCTTCTCCAGCAGTACGAAGTGTTCTTCCAACGTCTTTGTGTGGAGTGCGATGTCATCCAACCATTTCTCCAAGCCCTTGCCCAATAACTCTCGCAGATCATCACCCAACGTGGCTGAGAAGACGGCGGGGATTGTGGTGATACCAAAGGCGCATCGATTTGACTCGAGTAGACGTCCCGTGGGGTCCCTAAAGGCCGTCTTATGTTTGTCCGTCTCCTCAAGTTCCAGTTGATGATATGCCTGTGCCAAGTCGAGAGATGAGAAGAACTTACTCCCTTTCATCCGATCGAGCATGCCCGTAATGTCGCCAAGTCCACCACTATCCTTCTTGATGAGCTTGTTGAGATCTCTGTAGTCTATACAGATGCGGTATGTGCCGTCGGATTTAGGTACAGGCACAATCCGTTAGCACCACGAAGAGGTGGATAGCCTGAAGGTTCCCGCTGCCAGTCCCTGATTGAGCTGTTTCATCAAGAGGTCAGCCATAGGAGGACTCCACCTCTGAGCTTTGCAGGCGATTGGGGTGACGTTTTCGTCTATGAGTGGCAGTCCCACCTTCCGTCCATGTTTAATCTTGACGACCTTCGTGTTCTTCGGGAAAATACTCCTAAACTTGTAGAGCAATGCTAGCAGTCTCGCTCGCGTCGCCGGGCTCGTCTGGCCGGTCTTGGCCGTGCTTACGTCCACCGATTGCTCCTCGTGCCTCTGGCTCTGTTCCAAGGTCTGTCGTGTGCCCATTTACTCGGGTGTTGCTTTCCCCGGCAGTGGTTCTTTCAGGAGTAGCATTCTTTCGACATCACTACAGTTAACCGCTATCGCCCGCACGACTTGGGTTAACTCAGTAATGGTCTCGTAAGAAGTTGCTTTGTTAACCACTTTGATCTTCATCCTGACACTCGGGTCCCACCACTGAACACCTTTCGCGACTCCAAGTATTCCTCCCTTTTCCATATCAAAAGGTTCCACTGGAAAAACCAACACCAGAGTTTTGGTAAACGGTATTGGACCTTTTTCACGTGCATCCACCTCGACACTCACGCTGCCAGGTACGTTGATTTCTTGGTCAACATAGATGGGCCATGTCAACGTCCCATCATCCTCCCACGCTGTTGACCCTAATTCCAGAGCCTCCATTGCCAGCACTTCAGACGGCGGTGATTGTCGAACGTCTTCCTCTGCTTGACCTTCCACCATGTAGAACGCTCGAGTTGGTTCGTTCTCCTCGTTTGGTCTCCTATGTAGTCCACGTAGTGTCTTAGCTTTCACTCTCGAGGGCTCCATGTATGGCAGCAGTGGTGTTCGATCAGATGTGGGTGATGGTCGAAACCACCCAGACCCCGAGCCTCCAAAGTCTAGTGTGCTGTTGTATTGACGCATGAACGCAGTGCCTAGAATGAGACCTACAGGAAGTCCCTCCACGACTCTCACTCTCACACCGAAAATCTCATCAATCAAGGGAAAGACTAAGAACAGCACACATGTCCCTCGAATGGTCATCGGAGCCACTCCACTGTCACTCGGATTAGCTGCTCGTAGTCGGCCTCTTCCCTTCGTTGACACCATGTTCTTTCCTCCATACTGGTTTCTTTCCACTCCTTGAATGAACTTCCAAGACGCGTAATTGCCTCCTCCCGCACCCGAGTCCACCAGCACCTCCACCGCCTGAGTCTTTTGTCTTTGTTTGTTTATTCCATAGATTCGCTTTGACCCATGCTTGCTGGGACCCTCGAGGTGGCGGAACTGTCTTGTTTGTGGGAGTCACAACGGCAACTTCATTGTCCAGGGCGCTGTCGCAGGACTCCCGCGTTGGATGCCTATCCTGTGTGTTCCCCAGGAGTCTTGCTCCTAGGGCGCACCCTCAGTGGGACGATGAGTGCTCTCCCTCCTCGTCTTCAAAGTCCATCTCCTCTGGCAGCGCCTCCCTCACATCACCCCTTGTCTCCTCGTCCTCACGCGAGAGTTGTTCCAAAGTGATCATAGCGAGATGTACTTTCGCTGAGACCCTCTCCTTGTAGGGGTAGATTCCAAAGGGTACTTTTTCATGACTGTAGTTGCAAAAGAGTTGTTCAGCCATGTGAGGACAAGATGCTCCTCTGGCGTGGAAGAAGCAAGTCTTTGGGCGCATGATATACCTCTTAATGTTCTCTGCAGAGTCCTCTGGCTTCGGTGCCTCCTCCGGGAGGTTCCTCTGGAAGGTCCTGCGTTCTTTCTGTTTTCCTTTGTCTGGGGTCACTCCCGGAGAGAAAGTGCGGGACTGTTGACGTTGAGAAGTCGCTCGTAACCGATGCCTGAGACGTCGGTGTTTTGTAACGTCCGGCATCGTGGGCTAAGGTGTTGGAGAACTTTGTGAATATCTCCTTGGTGAGTGCTCCCCTCCTGGCCATGTAAGGCGAGCCCAGCTCATGTCGGATGGTTGGAATCTTGTCGAGCTGTGTCGGTAGTTTTCTCTGATCGTGAGCAATTGAGCCTCGCGTGGCATCCTGTCTCCCCATTGAGGAAAGCACAACTGCAACGCTTTCTCCTCCAAGATCTGAAGATCACGCATAGAGAGTAAATGCCAGAAGTAACCTTCTTCTGTGGCGTACGGGGCCTCCGGGTCAAGGTTTGAGGCCCGGAAATACTGCACCATTCGCACTTGCGCCGCCAACCACGACTCCTTGAGTCCCAACACTATATCGTTGAATGCTGCGATGGCTGCACGACGCGTAGAATGTTTCCGTGCTTCTTCTTCTGTCATGAGCCTCAGGAGATCCAGTGCCGTCACCTCATGTTGAGGTACATACCGTTTTCCACCCCTCACATCGTGGACTAGCATTTCTTGGCCCCGCATTAAAACCGGGTACAAGGTCGGTGCGGACATGTACGTGTGCCTTGTGATATCACAGAGAACCTAAAGCGTGAAGGAAATCCCCTCAAGGTCATATCCATCGCAGAACCAAGGTGCTTGGTATGACATTGTGGACACTATACAACATTTCCACACAGTCCAGTCCAACGTGTCTCATTTTTCCTCTTTGACATCCACGCTGAAGACAGACAGGCTTACTGCTTACTAGGACACCGTACTGTTCATAGGTGCTCCTTTCACCGGCCCCGCAGAGCATCCTCAACCACACGGGCGGCATTCCTCTCGTCGAAGTATACTTGATAGGCATGTGAAGCCCACGACACCGACCGAATCGCTTAGGGTAGCTCACTCATGTGTTAGCGTAACAAGCACTGGCTAGGGTTCAATTAGTTTCATCCATTTCATGGTCAGTTTCATGGTATCTTACCATTGGATTCAAGTTGGGGGCTAGGAAAAGGGATACACTCCCGGTGGGTCTAGCCCTGTGGGTCTAATCAAGGTGGGAGTAGCAAGGGGGGTCTAGGCAAGATCTATCCAGATCTACCTCTCATGCTTTGACTCACAGACTGGTTGCTTCTTAGCGGGTGCGTCAAAGTTCCTCTTCCGAGATTGGCCGTGTTAACAGTGAGCGATCACCCAAAACACGTGTTGAGGCGGCGCTCTAGAGGGGCTCCGCCAATGATTCAGGTACACCCTGGGGTATACCCTAGCCCTCCTCAAACCATCGTGAAACGGAATGAATCTCAGTATTTAGCACCCGTTCATGCTACCGTGACAGTTTTGCCCAGATAGCAGTCAGGCTAAGGATACTTGTATGAAATCGACGTGTTGGTGGTGCAAGCCGCTTGCTGCATTGATTTCCTGCATCTGCGCTCGGCATACTGTCACCAACTTACGACTAGTGACCAGTATCAACAGAAAAGACCATTTCGTACGAATATACATCATGAGGCACATTTGCGAGGTGCGCTTTATTGCTCGTCTGCTGCATATGCCAAATTCGTTGGAGGAGTCAAAAGACAGCAGTAGCAACGTAGAATTTGTCAGACACGCCCGGCACTCACCGCTCTCTTCGGTACTAACGTACCGACTATCGACAGTGGCCCACCAATCACTCCAGAACTCGTCATCTTTCCGGCTGCCGTCCTCATTAAACCCCTCTGACCAGGGGAGACCCTGGTCTGCCTTTCCGGCCAAAATGAGCGCGTTTCCGACGCCCAGGGAAGCCGAGCTCGTGGGCCCTATGGGTGACGCCGCGTGCACTACAACGGACTGCACCTGTTCACCGCTGGAAAATCCGTGAGAGCAGTCGTCGACGAACTCGTATGGTTCGGTGTAGTTGTAGGGTGTGGCCTCTGTGAAGTTGACCGTGAACTCGAGGCAGCCGTTCTGCAGCGAGCTAGAATGGTCCATCTTCGCGCATGTGATGTTCAGCCGGATCGTGGTGTCGTTGAGGGCCTCGTACAGACTTGGGTCCATGTGGGGCTGACAAAATAGTTGTCGACCAACGGGAGAGGGAGAGGGTGATTGTCCCCAAGACACAGAAGAAGAATGGTGCCCCGAGTATTGGGATACCGTAGGTCGCAAAAGATACCAGACTCCCTGGGCCGAAATTCAAAGCTCGATTACTCCACAACGAAGAGATTGCCAGAACCAAACGGTTCGTTCGCGGAAAGCTTTCAACGCCTTCACTTTCGGCACCCTCGCCGTTCTTGCCACATGAGCATTAGAGCTGAGAAAACCCGTCCAGGTGGTGTGGCATCTTACAGTAGGCCACCTACGGTAAGAAGGTGGAGCACAAGGCAAACGTGCATGTCTTTCCCATGCACAGCTGTTCAGCGTGAAGCGATATGGCGTAGCTGGATCACGTAGGAAACAGGATGAAGGACGTAAATAACGATGATTTTGGACTGGGAGCGAAATAACGTGTTGCGGCTAGCTATGCTTGTGAGGCAGATGTACGGGCGCTGCTAGAGTTCAGGAGTGGCATACACGAGGAGGCCACAAGCCTCGTGTCGGGGTGAATCGTAGGTATTGTATTTCGGGGGTTATTCATTACTGTAGATATGGGAGAACATCTTACACGTTTGCCATGTTGTTGTTGTTGTTGTTGTTGTTGTTGTTGTTGTTTTCTTCACATTAAACTCGTGTCAGTTGCTAATCCCAAAATCTAGGAAAGACTCTCGGTCCGTGGTCACAAAAAGTGCTGGCCTAATGTTTGCCATATGAAATTCATAACTTTTCAAAATGGGTACATACCTGGAGGTGGCGGACCCAGAGCTGGTTTTGGTAGGTCGCGTAGAACACGTCAACTTCGAGCTCGTCGCCATCGTTCCCAATGTATGTGGTGTTCCACGTGTCGTCCCCTACATGGTAAGCACTCGATTCACCGTTGCAGCTGTGCAGCGTTCCGTCTGTTGTTGTACATGATGAGCAGAGAACAACAGGCATTGGACATAAACAAATACATCATTATGCTGCAGTAACATTCGCAGTTCTGGTATTTGCGCTACAGTATATGGGTGCTGTTGGTTCGAGACTGGCACCCTTGTCCTCCAACAAACCGCCGGCTGGCACCATTGACGTACCACACGTATGCGTGGACATTTCAATGTGTGCGCCAGCCAAAGTCATGGCGCACCTGCATCGACTACCGCTGCTCGAGTGATGTACACACGTGCACGGCGAGGCACGCGCACCAGTGTAGACTATAAGTACAGCAGTAAATACATGACAATTTCATGCCAATGACATGGCATTTTCTTTCCGTCACCTTTGCGCTCTCGCTTGATACGTCTACTCTCTAATAACGTCGAAATTGACTCACTTTCATCTTCCTCCACCCATCCTCGTGTGATGATGTTGTTCCCGAGGTTGAGCTGGACGTCACCAGGGCTGTTTGGCCCTGCCTCCGGCAAGCGGAAGTTCGGCAACTGTCCATCGCTGAAAGTGAAGTTGCACCCGTCCGTCGTCGTAAACTGGGAGGCGGACACCGCCGTCGTGGGAAGCAACGCCACCAACGCGAAGCAGCATATTTTTAGCATGGCTGTGCCCTTGTATAGACTAGTCGTCGCTTCGTGGCGCATAGTCTAATGGACGTACACGGCTGGTGTACACCAAACTGAAGCACGCACGTATGGCGTTGATTGCCGGCAATATGTCGTCACTTGTCGTCAAGCTTGTCGTTTGTCGTACGCATTCTTATTCGATTAGACGCGAAAGAGCTAAGCGTTTCATTTGAGCGGGAACAAGAGCGCGGCCCCGATCATGCCGCAACCTGTCCACTAGATTCTTCCTGGAAAACTACGAGAACGCATGCAAAATTTTTAGAACATGGAAGGCGTGCAACTTGTTTGGGGAGACCGAAAAAAATCAAGTAGTTTGTCCCCTCCACGCCTCAAGTCCTTCAAGGTTGCACTTTCGCAATACGGAGCCAATCATAACTTTCCACTTTGCACAAACGGCGGATCGTTGTTTCTCCCGCGAAGCTTCTAACCCCCCAGGCGCCCCAGATCAGACTGGACTGCGGCCACTACCACCCGTTCTCGCAGCAATTACAGTTTTTTTACGGCGGCTGAAGGGCGAGCGGGGATCTTGAGAACAGGCCCTGGCTATTTGCGCGCACGAAAAGCTCTGTACGCAGAACAGCAGCAGCAGCAGCAACGAGACACACTAAGCGGGGGAGCGAGGGCCCGAGGGAGAACGTTAATTAACAGAGCGGGAGAGAACCTAATGGCAGGACCAACGAAGGAGGTCAGTGCTGGTGTTGTGGGGAACCGGGGGAGGGGGGATGCGAGCCCCGCCGTTGTGTTGCTGTTGTCGGGGACGTTGGACAATGTATCTACCAATGCTCTTGGTGACATGTCTCATGACCGGAAAAAATCGAACACTAGTTGGAACAGAAACTCGATCTTTACACCTATCTATTCCCCTCCCCAAGGTTGGTGTTGATCGGCTCCAGGTTAACAGAACAGATGGCAGTCCCCTAGTACGTCTAAGGAGGCTCTTGTTTATTTCCTCTTCTGTTAGGGCACTGCCCCCATTGCTTGTGTGATGGGAGGGCTGAGTTTGACGTTTGGGTGCTCAGAACGGTGGAACGATGTCAGCGGTCACGAGTACGTACTTACGATGGTCTCTTGGGTGTGTTTTCTTGTTTTCTTCTTCCTCTTCAGAGAACGGGAACACACGCCGCCGGCGCGTTGGCGCGTTTGAGCTTGCTGCTCCCTACAATCGTGAACGCCTCGGGAAGCATTCGATGTTGGAAAACCCGTCTCATGGCGTGGTTATCTATCTGTCGGGGTCGTTCTCCTCCATCCGAGCTCTCTCTCTCTCTCTCTCTCTCTCTCTCTCTGGCCATTCGAATTGATCATCCGTCGCGTGGTGTAAGGAACCGGCGACCATAGATATATTTTCTTGAGACAAACAGGCTCGTCAGTCATGGCTACTTCGCAGCACCTCGCTCAACCGTGAGGTTTAGCAACACAGCAGGAGACGATGCGATTACCGGCACCGAATCAACACTGCTGCAGTGTTGAGCCACCTGTATTCTACGTCAGGCGGGGGGAGGATGCGATTTTTTCACAACAGCGATGGATAGATATACCGTTGACGAATAACGTGACAAATCATCGTGTGCCACGTCGCCTTTTCGCCTTTGGAACGCGGAACTTTTCAGTACGAATGACGTGTGGACAGCATAGCAGGGGGAATTGCAAAGGTCCGCCTCGCCCCCCCCCAACCCTCCTCTTTGTGTTGTGTTGCCTTGCTTTGTCCTGTCCACACATGATTGGGTTTGTTTTTATTTTTCGGCGCTTCGCGGTTCTTCGAAAATTACCATCTGTTGAACGGAAAATTAAGTTATCATTTTTTCTGTCTTCCACCTTATGGATGGCTACTGCTCTTGATACATCCCGAGACTAATACGTGAAGGAATTCCCCCAACCCCCATCGCCGCTTTCCCTCCGAATTCCCGTGGTGTGTGTGGCCTGATGGACGCCCGGCGCTCGTTGAATTTCGCCAGGTCAATTTACAATGTCGGCTTGATGTTCCATTCAACTTCAAGCCCAACGATGTGTTGATTTTTAGGCACGGTTAGCGTCTTGCTTGTTGTACACGTGGTTCATTAACCTTTGTTGATGCTCCGAAAATTCTGTCTAATTTACGGCACCCCCAAAGCCTGCAAGGTGAACTATGGGCAGAACTCCCGATTAACAAGGGTAAGGTTGAACTAAATACTCAGCCCTTTTCGGACATCACGGTTGATCAAGACATGAGATATGGATCTCGGTCGTGGGGCCTCTATCCACATCAATTTTGCGTACTGCCAACTGACCGATTCACCCGACTTGCAAATTGCAGGCAACCATGATATTCGAAGATACTCCCGTCGACAAAACAAGTTTGTTGTTGGATGTGTGCCAAGAGCTTGTGCGACCTACAACGTAAAAGCGCCCTTTACGTATGTAGAGGGCCCACGACTAGACAGCGTGTTTCTGAGCGTTTCTTCCACCAACATACCCCCCTCCACACTCGCTAGACACTACGACACCCTGACAACCTGCCGGTCGACACGCCTACCCTTACCCTTACCCTCGCTCCCTCTCCCTTCCATCGTGCTTTTCCTTTCTCGCAGAGGGTATTCATCCACTATGTGCTGGGGAAGATGCTGATGCTATTTTTCCTGTGCCACCCTGGCACCCTGGCGACGTGCGACGGACAGGCCTACCTCCGCAACCGTTACGCGAACCGGGACCTGGTGAAGACCGAAAGCGAGCTCGTGAGTACAACGTTGGTCCGTTCGCTCTACGCGGGGAGATGTGGACTGCTTGGCCTTGGTGGCCATGGACGGGTTACGGGGTGTTTGCGCTGTGCCTCCGACGGAATGCCTATTGTTGGAGACACCGCCGCCGTTTTTCTTGAGTCCTTGCGGTCTTCTTCTTTTGTTTTAAGGACACGCAAGGCGAAGGCGTAAAACGTTTTTAGACCCATGGCCCATGACATAAGGTAGCCTCCGTCGATTCAACCCCTGCCAGTTTTTCCCAGCCATGCACTTGCCCCCCCTATGGCATGCACGGCTAGGAGTACCCCCCCCCGCCTCCCCCCAGAAAGCCCGCCACCTATTGTACCGCGCTCCGTAGCCCGATTTGTTTGTTCGAGTCCCGAGTCTGTCGCTCTTGTATACCCCGAACGTCTTCAACCTTGAGAGCTTAAGCCCGACTGCATTACTCGACCTTAACATGAGACCTTCACGCGACTGCATTAATCGATCTCGACAGGAGGACCACAGGCGGCACTACAAACGCCGCGACGTGAGCGAGTTCGCCATGCGGGTCGGCGTTCCGGAGGAGATCCTGCAGTCGAAGGCGGGCGTGGACGACAACTACACCCCCGACTGGGCCCCGACCCTCGAGCAGCGCTTCCACAGCACCGTCGTAGCCTGGCTACGCAAGGGCGGGTCGACTGCCGACCAAGACAAACCCGCCACCACCACCGGCGCCACACACACGAACGCCGGCTCTACAGCTAACACCGCTAGCACCACTACCGCCGCCGATGCCGCCGCCACCATGGCCGCCGTCCGGGTGGCCACGCGCGGGATGGCCTTCGTCCCCACGCCTCACACGCGCGGCAGGGTGACGGGCGTGCACCGCAGGGCCTCCACGAGCGGCGCGCTCACCGCTAGGCAACGTTGGGTCTCGCCGCTTGCGGAGGTTGGCTCGAACCCACGACGCTGCTCAGAATGCTCCGGCTGCCGCCGCCTGAGGAGCGCCCGCCGCGGCAGCGCCGGCAACCCCCAGATGCTGCTCAGCCGGTTCCGCGGCCGCGGGTTTCCGCTCCGGAGAGGCATCTTCGGGGGCGCCAGCGAGGCTGACGGCGGCGGCAGCAGCAGCAAGGACAGCAACAGCGGCGGCGGCGGCGGCGAGGACTGCGTCCAAGATGAAATCCGAGACCAGGCGGCGGCTACGACGTACAACAGCGCGGAGACCTTGGAGGGACCCGAGCGACCGCTCACCGGCAACGGCGACAGCGGTGGCGGCGGTAGCAGATCGTCCGTGTTGTCGACGTTTTTGGGAGGCGCGGCCGACGCCTACGACTCGGCTTTGGACTTCGTGGGGTGCGCGCTGGTGACCTCGCCGCTCGGAAAGCGGTACCTCTCCGGAGCATCCGACGGTTACAACACCGTGTCGACCATCCGCAGGACCGGCGGGGGCCCCGCGGACATGAACAGCGGCAGCGCGTACGACCTCGTGGGGTTCTCGAACATTGACCCATTTGAAGCCAGCGGGCGCGGCGGGGGGGGAAACCGCTTCCTTGGCTAGGATCGTTTGGAAGTTGGGTTAGGGTTAACACTTGGGACAGAGGAACTTGAAGCCCTGTCTGTTGAGGGGGGTAGGAGTGGTTTGAAGTTGGGGGGAGCGCAGCCCGCGTTAAGTCGTTGTAAGGGAACGATCTTGTTGTTTGTTGCGCGCGCTCTCCCAAGATTGTACATATTTGCGTTTGAAAAGAAGGGTACAAGGGTCGTGGTGACGCATGCGTAGAGGTCAAGTGTGATTTGAAAGATCTGTACCTGATATTGGACGCCTGCTTTTGCCGGGTGGCCGGAATAGATACGGTGTTGTGCGCCTTTAGGGTTCTGTTGATGCTTACACCAAAGTGTGTGCTTCAGGCGGAGGAAGAGCCCCAAGTGCCGTTGTGGTCATGGTGGAGAGAAAAGAAACGCCATGCTTCTGGTCTTTTGAGAGGAAAGTCTCGAGCAGAGTTGTCAGGGCTTGATAAGGGGTTGGCATTGAGTGGGAAGGGGTGACAATCAACTTGTGATACAATTTGGCCCGTTGTTTTGCACCTACTACCTTCGGACTCTACCCGTCCGTGTCTTGGTTGATGTGCGCGTGGTTCAGTTTACGGTTGGATATCCCCTCCCATGATCATGGAATTGTTTGAAGAATCAAAAGCGGGGGCGAGGGAGATGTTGTTGTGCTTGAGCAGGGAGGACGGAAGAGAAGCAGACTCCGTATGCTTTGCATGCACTGACGGGGTCGCTTCTGGTGGTTGTTGTTGCTGGTGCGGAAGCCTGGAAATGGTTTGGCAGGCAAGAAAAAGTGTGGGGACCAGCGAAGTTTGAAAAATTGAGGGTATGTATGTGTACACACCCGGCGTGCTGGTCTGGTTGGCGGTATACTGGGGCTGTACCATGCTCCGAACCGCGATGGGTCCTTCGTTTGGAACGGGTTTTGAGGGCCCCGTGTTTGGAATGGGTTTTTATTTGGATGGGAGGGAGATATGCCTGGTTTGAGAGAGAAAAGGTACGATCAGAAAGCTGGTGCAGGTCTCCGAGCTCGCTCGTGTCTGTACAGGTAGAACGGGAGTCAGCAGATGTTGCTGTTCCCGGAAGGAGAGACGACAAACTTGAGGGTATTCTAGTTCTTAGATGTTGCTGAATGATAGACGTAGTTTGGAGGCCTTCCTTGCGTGGTCCGAGTTACGAGGAACGCAGGGAGCACTCGTGCATATGCTTGCGGCGTGTGTTTGTATTTGCAGGAGCAGCATGACGAAAAAAGACTGTAGCAGGCAAAGGACTGCTGATTGCTACATCAAGCAAAGTCCTTCCGTCACGTTGGGTTTCGTTCTGTATTGATTTATTTGTACTGCAAACGATTTAGAGGAGGGGATGGTTTCTTTAGAGGAGTCGAGGGTGAATAAAGTGGGGCGCGGTCTGGCGGACAAGCACCACATGGAATCGATTAAGCGCGTCATCGTGAAAATTGGCGCCGCCGCGAAGAGTAACGTAGTGTGCTCCGCGAGGCGAGCTTGGGTGCCAAGCATTCGTAGGTGGTATGTGAGAAGCAAGTGCGTTTTGGACACCACATGACGATCGACGCGAAAGATTGTCGGGGTGGGAGGGAAAAAAATCGCCAGTCTTCCCTGCGTATGTACCGTGTGTGTATCATCCTGTGTCGTTGTTGTTGAGTGTGCTATACTACGGGATGAGTGTGCTTGAAGTTCACGTCGAGGGACTGCCACCGCGCCTCCACTGGGAGCAGACGAGGGCCGATAGACTAACTGCTGCATGTGTACCCGTATGTCGTGACGTTTTTTAGCACTTTAGGAGGAGGGAGACGGGGTTGTTTCGCATATATTTGTATGCGTTTTGGTACAAATTCGTGTCGGAGTTATCGTCAGTCACTCGTAGTTCCTCTGGATAAAACGAGGTATGGTAGGACTCGAGCCAAGCAAAATACCGAAGCAATCGAACAGCATGTACTCCCAATTCACACCTTCGTGCGAAATGGGAAGGTGTACCATCAGACTGACGTAGGTCATGTCGAGCATCTCGTTCTTGTCGCACCAGAGTATTTTCTACTTCGAAGTAGATCTTTGTGCGACATTTTCGGGCGGGACACACTCGTGATTGCGACAAGTGCTGTACTGCTGCTGCGGGCGCCGGGCCGCCGCTGCTATTGAACTGCAGCGTTTGCGGTCCCCACGGCAACATTGCCTGCGTTTGTAGCATCGGCGCTCCCCACAGCAATATGCCTGCTTTTTCAGCAAGCGGAGAGGTTTGTTGCTGGAGTTGTCGTGATGCTCATTTGAAACCGTTCTTGACCTTCCTCTCACCTTCCGTACAAAATTCGGGGTCACGAACTAGCGTCAATCGGCAGTACACGCATATTGAGGGGGGGGGCGAGACAGACCACAGGGTACGTGGTGTCAAGAAGCCGTCATGACTCGCCGGATGTTGCTTTCATTACGAGAGCACCACGAAGTTTCACATCACACTCCAGCTGCCTTCCCTCAACTCCAATGGCCTCACGCCTCCTTTCCGGCACACACTCTCACGATGGGGCGAAAAATAGCACGGGCAGCCTATAGGACACTTCAAAGAAACATTCCCGCGATGAGGTCACAACACAAACGCATGGTATGCATACACCTGATTCTTGGAAGCCCTCAACTCCCGCCAGTGCCCTCGAGAACCTGTACTAAATAGTCGAAATGAATAGTGCTAGGCGCAACAGAAACTGAACCCCCTTGCTTTAGAATACGTGGATGACGTCACATGTCGAACAGGAATTTTCGACCAATCAAAAGCTCCTTTCACAAAGTTTGGCCAATAAAAAAACTGCGGGAAATTTTCATCTCTCTCTCTAGCGCAGCAAGAAAGTACATCGGTGGCGGCGTAAACCATAGATAGCCGTACGGCTGCAGCCGCACTCCGTCCGCTCGTCTCCTGGCCTCAAGCACCTCGAACATCGGCTCTCGTTAGATAAAGACTAGAAATACATTTGCAGCTCTTCCAAGGTGGCAAACAACTCAAAGCCTTCCATGTGTCCACCTCGCCCCTTATCTCTGCGTTGTTCTCTCTAGCCCTCATACAGCACTCTGTGTGGAACACCTAGCTTCGACAGAGTAGTCTATTTGCTTGCACGCATACAACAGCAGTCACCCCTCCTGTGATATAAGACGTAAGACCGCATACTGCCAAGGGGGATGGCTGGCCCTCTATACCGGGCACCCGGCAATATCCAGAGCATGAAACGACTTGAACATTCCACCAGTATCACACGACTTACACAGTGCGACCGGCCTTTTACGGGGACCACAATGCGGCCTTAATACAGAGACCACGACAATGCTACTGCTGTCCCTCAAACCTCTCCTTGATACTCACCATCCCGCCGTTTGGCTTCCTCCTCCCGCTCCTCAAAACCACCGCCCTCCCTTGCCCCGCGGTCACCCCATCTACTACCCGCCCCTTGCATCCTGTCGTCTGCCTCTTCTCCCTCGCGGGGCATATAATCTTCGTTAACCTCTATGTCGATCTCCTCTATCACCGCGTTGGCAAGCCTCCACTTTCGAGCGGAGCCCGCGGTAGGGGCCAGCCCCGCCTCCCCCATCTCCACCAGCGCTTCGGTGGCGCTCACCCAGTCCTGCAATGAGGGCAGAAGGAGGGGCAGGAGGGGCGTGAAGTAACGAAGTGGACAAAATTGGCTCGTATCTTGTCTGTGGACGAGTTTAATTTGTTGTGTTTTTACAAAAAATCGTTGTGAAGTAATCAGAAACATAAAAACGCAGATGAGTTTAGGAACCAAAAGCATCACGAGTCCTGTGTTGGGGGAGGCATGACATTGACCTAAAAAAATACAAGTGATTCTCAGCTTAGCAACCAAAGAGTGTGCGAAATCGATTTACATATTGTACGAGAGTCGGACAGCCAAAAAAACCATCGTGACAATAAAAAAAAATGCACGGTACGGTGTTGGCACCCGCGTGCGCCCCACTGAGCGGTAGCCAAAAAAATAAACTCGTTTCACCGAAACCTTCACTCCGATTAAGCAAACACAGCAGCACTCCGACAACTCAGTCCAATCACTCAGGGCCAGACACAGCCGCAGTTCGACAATCTTCAGGTCCAAACCCGCGAGGATACACAACAGCACGCCGTCAATTCTTAGGCCAACCACTTACGAGCTTGCTTATGTGGGAGGTCACGATGAGGTGATACCCGGCGTGGTCCGGCGTGAGGCTCTGCGCCCGCAGCTGCTCTCCGATAGCCAAGATGGCGTCCATGTCGCCAACCGTGTAGCACGCGTTCATCACTGCCGTGAAGAGCGACACCTGCCGTAACCGTTGTGGCCCAACGTCAGATACAGTACAACGTTGCTGCTGCTGTTGTGATAGTCATTGTTGGTGTTGTCGTTGGTTGGTTGGTTGCGGCGGTGGATAGACGTCAACTCGACCCAATCAAATCCAACCACCTGTTGTGTCATGACCGAAACCTTCGGATGCGCGATGATGCAAGTCGGGTCTTCTATCCTGGAATCATACGACAACGAAATATAAGAAAGACAAGAAGCTTGTGTCGGCAAAAGGGGTCGTCCGGCCGGTGGCGCCACCTCTCACACGCCTCCTCCCCCATCGAAACCTCTTTTAACACCACTTCTTCTCTGGTGGGCTACTGGTTTTATTTCTCCTAATAAAAGAATTTTCTGTGTGGAAGAATACTCTCCGCAAAACGTCGCCGACTGGCAAAATCAAGCAACGCTTGTACCACCAACTCATCATCCAACATACCACTACTTTGAGCGCGTTGTTGAACCCCACACGGCCGTGTACTTTTCATGCCACCGCCGCCACCCTTAAGCTTGCCACATACCTCGGGAACGAGTCCCCGCTCGAGACTGTTGGCCAAAATTGCTTCCGCCTCGCTTGGTCTCCCTGCCCGACAGCACGCCTTGACTGCGTTGTTTACCACACCCTCTTCCAGCTCGTACCCCTCCTGCAACGCAACCGGAGGGACGCCGTGAAATCACGCCGGGACAAGCGGGGAGTGGAGCGTGGGTGTGGGTACGGGGTTGGAGGGGGGGGGGATCGTTTATCTCCCTTCTGCAAGAACCCAAGCCACGAGACACGTAAAAGGACCGTGATGCTTGAATGTGTCGAGGCAAGGAAGCGCGGTGAGGGGGGGGGGGATACTCACTTAATACATGACCACACGGCGCCCCTTCCGACATTGATTATCGCTCCGACCTTAAAAATCACTGATAACCAAGAGAGCTCTGGACATTCTCGTAAGAGAGAGAGAGCTGGGGGCGGGTACGCATACCGACCAACCGCAACACGTCGGCGCGACACAAACCGTTTCAGAAACGTTGCACGTCGGCACAACAGGCCGCTCTTCTTGGATGCCCTCAAAATTTCTCGAGACCCACCCTCCAAACACAAAACTACTGCACCTCGAGGTAGTTATCTAGCAGCTGAGTGCCGCGCTCCCAATCCGCTCCCTTGGCGCACGCACGTAGAGCAGCCCCGTACGCCGCCTTCACCGTGGGGACACCCTAGGGTTGGGCAAGTTGGGGTTAATTCTGAGAGGTTTGTAGCGGTGGTTTCGGATAGGGTTTGTGGTTTTGGGTGCTGGTGCGTGGAAATTCCTAGTGACAGAGCGGGTGTTACTGCCGCGAGAGGCATTGCGAAACCGATGCGGGGAGTGAGGGGCACCGTGAATCAAGATATGATCCCGCCACCCCACGCTTATATACCTTTTCCGGCCCCTCTGGACTCCAACAAGACAGGCTTTGCCACGCCGGTACCTCTCTCGGCTCCTTGCGCACAAAAAGTTCGTCGCGTGCATCCTAGCTTTTCTCGACAGACTTAACGCACCTTTTCCTGCATCTGATCGAACAAAACGATGGCCTCCTTCCAGTGCTGCCGCTGCCCCGCGGCTTTCACCATCTGAGCCATCAACCTCTTCTTTTTGGCGCTGCCCTTGTTACCGCCGTTACCGCCGGCGGTGGTAGAAGCAGTCGCGACCGCCTTCGCCGGCGACCCTAGCGCCGCAACCACAGCTGCCGCCGCCTTCGCCGCCTTCGCCGCCTTCGCCTCCTTCGCCTCCTCCTTTTTCGCTTCGAACACCGAAGAGGGCAAGCAACAACAACACGTGGCAGGTTAAAAGGGCGACACCTAATGGTTTGTCGTGGAAGGAAAAAGGGGTTTCGTCAAGAAATAAAAGAAGGACTCGAACAGGGAGTTGCACAGAAGCACCTTTACGCGGACGCGGTTCCGCAGATATAAAAGGCCAGCGAATTTCGACGCTGTATGTTTTCGTATCCACGTGCACCGAGAGGCGTAGACTGGCACCCGAAATGGAAGGGACGAGCACCAAAAAAAAAAAAAAAACTACCACGGGGTCCCTGTTTAGTGCCGGCATTATGTGCCCAGAAATTCACCGGCACAATACCGGACCGGCACTATTGAAAGTGCTGACAGTGACTTGGAAATTCAGTGTGTGCCCGCCGAAAACACCGGCAGTACGTATACCGGGCATATTCTTCGAGTCTGCGTCAACAATGTGTGTTGGAGGATGTGAGCATGATCGAGGTCTTCCTGGCTTCGATTAGAAGGCATGACGCCAGGTTTTGTGCCACCAACTCGTTTTCCACGCTTTGTGGCACGCTCCGGCCGATTTCGCTGTGTGGGATGAAGGGGTGTGCCTGCTTCTCGCCGTTGCCCAAACAACAACAAAATGATAAACGCCTCCGCATTCCACCAGTCGCGTGAAGAAAATTTCCTTCGCCCCTAGCGAGCGTGCAATAGAAGTGTTTTTGACAAAAGTGCCCGACCAAAAGTTGTCAAAAGCCGTAGCTCTTCTCGCAACTTTGTACCCCCATAAAAAGCGGTGCAACGCGTCTCTGCAGCGAAGTGAAAACCGAGGGTGTTAGACGAACGCGACCAGACGCTCCAAAATCAGTCGCTTTACCACGAGGCTGGGTGGCCCAGCGACCAGTCTACAAAGAAGATCTAAATAGAGTCGTCCAGACTGTTGACCGACTGCACTGTCTGCGGTGAACGATGCCCTCGCACACGACACAGCGCCGCCGGATTTGTGAATCGGCCTGCGAGTAGTGATGGCTGCGTCCTGCAACGAAACCCCTGATTCCCAAAGCTTAAGGACTCGACCACAAGAACAGGTGCTAAGGTGTTGAAAATCCTAAGCTGAATCCTACGTGGCCGATGTTGGGTTGCGCTGCAGAGGACGTAGGCGGCGAGACTCGCGCACAAAAAAATACCCTCGCTTAAGCGATGGCCCGTACCACTCGCAAGAGCCAATATTCTCTCCATTCTTTCTTTCTCCACACCTTGCGCCTTCTCCTCGGGACTGCGGCCCCCCTCCCCTGCCGACAATACACTGCTGTTCGTCGGCCCCCGGGCGGACGCTGACGTCGATGCTGCTGACGCCAGCCCTTGCCTCATTCCGAGAGTTTCTTCCGCGTCTCCCCCCTCCCCTCCCCCGCCCCCCTCCACGCCTCTTGCTGCTGCTGCTCGATTGGACCCCCCATCTCTCAAGTGACTTCTTCGCGAGGAATAGAGCGGTCTTCTGCGGTGCGGCGGGCGCGAATGACGTCCTCTGCCTGGGGAGAGCCGGGTGGAGAGAAAGGTATCAAACGGGTGATCTGGGGAGGGGCGGGGTGGGTGGGTGTACTCATATAAACGCATAAACGCATGCCGTAGTCGCGAGACCATTGACCTCGCATTCCTACAATGCTCGGGGGGAGGGGGGGGGGCTCATACCAAGCGCAAAACTATCGGTTCTACACATCGAATGGTGCACAACAACTCAGCGATTTACTCTGTCCATAAACAGAAAACTGGCAAGGGCCACTTCGGTTGGGGCCCACAACAACTGCCACGGACATTTTTTGCTGCGTTTTGCGGCGTAACTTCCCTTTTTTCTCGTTAAGCAGAGCTAGAACAATGTTGGCTGGAGCTGTTGCGCCCTTGCGATGTCCTCAAGTTATAACCATCGGTGTGCTATAATAGGTGACATTTCTGCTGCATGCAAAAAAGGCCCGAGGTGCCTCCGACACACGATAGGCGGGGGGTCGTGTGATTCGACGCGCTCACTTGAAATACGCCCTGACTCCCCCACCGCTAAACCATCTCAACAGGATCCAGATTACGTGATGTTGAGGACCCGTTTCCCACAACGAACAAAAACACAAACACAGCAGCAGCAGCGGTGGTACCATCGAGGTTGTCCAGCCCCTTCCCGCATCCAATCATTATACCTGCTCGACACACCGCAACGGCACGTCCAGACCGAGAGACAGCGACTCCCGCCGTAGGCACGCGCCGCCCAGCCAAGCCGCTATTACTCCAGCTCGGCCCTAAAGGACAAGCGGCATGTTGGAGAACGGCACAATGATGTGCACCTGGTTGTAAATCACAGTCTCGTTTCCTGAGATGCGACCTGCTTACTAGTGGAGCGAACCAACGATGGTTATGACATCACGATACATGTCATGCTGTCCCAAAAAAACGAAACAATCCTTCAAAAAAAATTGTGCACAATAGGATGTACGAAGGTCCATCACTGCATACAAACCGCGACGTTCATCCTGCTTTCGCTAGACAGCAAAAAATGCCATCATGCATCCTGTACGGCTTTTGTATCACCGCCGTAGAAACTATTTGTAGCTGCGCGGTGTTTTGGGAGAATTAATGTTGAAGGCAGCAGTGCGTTGTGTTCTTGGTTTGACGGATGTATCCGTTGGATACGTCTACCGAATGGTTTTGTGCCAGGCAGATTGTGTAGACTGCTAGGGGGTAGGGGCACCGTGATGATCCACAGGGACCCTGCGTGTATGAGGACGCCCTTTGCGGCACTCCTCCTTATCCTCTGTTCCCTTGCATGGACGTTTGTCTTCCTCTCGTGAAGTTAATATACTGAACAAGTCTCACTCGAAAGGTATGCGGTACGTACGGTATAGAGTTTGCCCCTCGAGGGAAACCGCATCGAGGACAAGAACCCGGGGGAGAAGAAGGGCCAGCGGAAGGCGGAGCAGTCCTTCCTCGCGAGCGACGGCAGCGCAAGGGCGGCGGCAGCGGCGTCAACCAGAAGGTGGCGACGCGAAGGCTGGCCTTGGCCGTGGCGGTGGCGGCGCAGGCGACGTACCCGGCCGCTGCCTCCGGCGCGGGGAGCGGGGGCACCAGAGGACCGCTTGCATCAAGAGCGAGCTCCCCGTGCGGTGCATGGGTTTCGGGCACGACAAGGGCAAGTGCCGGTCCGAGGAGGCGGTGCTTGTGGTGGGCTTGCCGGTGGGCGGAACGACCGCGGACGACGCCATGGCACTGGATGGGGCAGAGAAAGCACTGGCGGTCCGTGGCATCCCAAGCGAGCGTAACAATGTCGTTGGTCGAAGGGGGTGTGGAGCAGGCCAGGCAGGAGAGGTCTGTGGCCAACACCGGCGCTACCGCTCTCCGATGTGTTCGTCAATTACCACAGAGTACGATAGAGGCACCGGGCAAACCTTTCCTATCTTAGGGTACGGCGACGAGTGGCTGGTGGGGGAGGCCATCGGCAGCATGATATGTGTGTGTGTCGACTTTCTCGCGGCCGGGCGTCTCGTTCGCCGTGCGTTCGGTAGCGCGCCACGCCCACGCTCAGACCTCGACGCATTGGGTGGCCATCATGCAGAACCTCGGCTACCCGAAAGGGACGAGGGGGCTTCGGCATCACCTACAAACGGGGGTCGGGGCTAGAGCTGGCTGTATACGTAGACGCCAGCTACGCCGACGCAGCGCATGTAGGCGCAGTGGTTGTAGGCGTTTTGTGTCAGGTTTGGCAACAACGGTTGGAGGTACCGTAATCAGCCATGGCAGCAAAACGCACAGCATCGTGTCGATGTATTCGACCGAAGCCGAGTACCTAGCTCCCGGGCAGGGCGTGAAGTTTTTTCTTTTTTCTTTTATGTGTACACTCCCTGTGTTTGTTTGCCTCAGAAACCAGTGGCAGCAGCTTCCAGGTCCTTGAGGACATGACGTTGGCGCAGAACCGCCTCAACTCCGCGCCTATAATAGCAAGCAAGCACATCGACGTGCGATACCGCCTTAACCGCGGGTTGTCTAGGTCGGGCAACGTGACGTATCGACAACGGAGTAGCACGCCGAATTTCTTGCCAACGCTCTTAACAGGGACTGCAGTACCACCAGCGCAAGTTGATGAATTTGCCGTACTTTTAGTATTCTTAGCACAGGAAAAGGTCATGTAAATGCACCATGCGGAGAAAGACAAAGCCATCTCGCATGACTGCTGTCGCGGTCTGTGTACCTATGGCAGGAGCAGGGGGCATCGGGAAACCTTCTGTCCGAGGGAACGTGGTAGACACGAAACAAAAGCAACTGCCAGGTTTCCAGCCCTCAGGGTTCACCACGGCTCTAGGCCTGACTAGGCCTCCTTTCGCGACAAGTCTCACCCGAGTACTTCATAATATGAACAGTACGCGGTACGGCTGCAAACAGAAAAGTGTCGTCGGTTTTCCGTCGAAAATCGCTATGGTCTCAGTCCAGTGCATTAGAATATCGCCCAGACGACAAAAAGACTGACGAAATGCTCATGAAATTCCACACTGCTGCAGCAGGTAGTGCTGTGCTGCAGCAGGTACCAGTGCTGTGCGGTGAGCAGGTAGAACAGAGGAGAGCGACGTTGAACCTACACATGATGGAGCAACGTACATCTTCGCAAAAAACGGCTCTACAGCATTCGAGTACGACACAATCTAGCGTGAACAGGGCATACTTTATCGTCAGCACTCAAGCCGGCCTTCCATGCCGCGCTCACCTAGGCAATACAGCAGTTACTGGTGGAAACCATGGGTGTGCTATAAACGTAGACTAGTCCAACGCACTACTCTCGAGCGGATGTACAGCACCCACCACATGCTACATACGGAGTATGTAGTCTTGACCATAGAGACCTTGCCTACCTCCTGCAGAAGTCGACACCATCCTGAACCCCGAGCACAAGTACGTCCAAGATGCAATAACAAAGCCAAGGTTGGATATCGCCATCGCCCGGAGTGGGGAGACGCCCTGCTGGTACACGCATGGCAAATGATGCCACCTGCTCAATTGACCACCTCATTGAGGGTCAACGCAGATATGACAAACCCCGAAACCACATACCTCGATCCCCGTGCCGGATCCCGAACAGAACATCCACGGGACCCCACAGCCTGGAGACCCCTCGGCAAGCAAGCGACGAGCAACACACCCCAAACAAAGGCAGGCAGGCAGGGGCAGCAACAGGAAGAGGGAGAGAGCACCCGCAGAGCCATTGTTTTTGCTATGCAAAGGAGGAGGCGGAGGAACAGGGAGGAACCGCTCTAGCAAGCTTCATGTGGCCCCGACGTGAAAGCAGCAGCAGGTTTGTCGACACCAGTCCGTCAGTCACCACCATTAGCAATCAAACAACTGTTCGTTCGTTACGGCAACAGATGCTAGAAAAGAGAGCGAGTTTTGCATCTTGAATATTGAATATTTCCACACGGAGTCGTTGTTTCCCCGGCCCGTCTTGCGGATTTTATGCCCCTAAGCCCATGCCTGCGTCAGTGTTTATCGCTTGTGAGCCGTGTAGCGGGTGTTCCGCGCGCGGGGGGGGGAGGCGAAAAACGGACAAAGAAATCCTCATGCCCGCGGGCGGACAAGAAACGCAAAGAAAAGAAAGAGCGTTTGTCGCTCTCTGCGCAGCGATCTCAACAGCCCGTTCACCGGTCAGGCGCACAGACATACGCACGTCAAACATTGGAGCCCGTTAGTGCCTCTTCGTCGCACGTTCCTCCATGGTCGCTACAGTAGTGCTTTTTCCCGTGTTGCGTCTTGAGCTGTCCGCGCGTCTTCTCGAGGAACATATTATGTTGTGGATGGATTACCTCATTCGCTGCTCTGCTGTTGCGGGTTTATTCGCGCAAAAACAGCTGATGCCGCAAAACACAGCTTACATTAAAGATCCCTGCAGCCTCGAGTGCTCAACAATTTCTTTTTTTTCGGCGCGCGCACCATATTGTATGCATAATAAGCGCAACAGCACTACTGTAGCAGTGCCTACCGGTTCCTCCGGGCCAGCTCTCGTTAACTTTTCCCAGCAGTAATCGTGTTCCCACAGGATTGATGCAAATGGGTTTACTATATAAAGCCCTTGCAAAATGTTCAATGTGCCGAATTAAAATTTGGCTGACGGAAGAAGCTCCTGCTGTTGTGGGTTTCAAATCTCGGTCTCTTTACATCTTACGAAATGTATGCATTTTCACCCTGTTTGAGTTTGATGTGAAGAAAACAACAACAGCTGTGCTGCGGCAACAACAGCAGACCGGGATTTCCGTTTTTTTCGGGAATCTTCACTACAGCAGTACTGCTGTTGTAGCTGCTTCAGTTTCGAAGACCTCCCGTATAAGGGGGACATACCTTGAGTGGGGCTACTTGTTCGAAGATAAATACTACAGCAGCAGTCGATGGTTCAGGTTTCATACATGAGTATATATTTTTCCGAGGTGCACCTACCTCATGGCGGGCGGCGAAATCGTGACATATATCGTCATCGCAATGGCGGACGACGGCAAACCAACAGCCCAAAACACCGCATGCTCCCCCTGCACTGACTGATCAATGATCCCTTCGGCTCTTTATTTTTGCTACAAGCCAGTTCGCGTGCTGCTGAAACACATGACACCACCACCGCACATGATCTCCTTCTTGTCTCGTCTCTTCAAAAACATTTGACACCAGTAGGTGTTGTATCATATAGGTTCATTGACATCATCGGTACCATACACCGAATTGCCCAACAAGCGAGCAAGTAGGCGGCGGTGGGTACACATTTTAGGAACCACCGTACAAGTACAACCCGGGGGGAAATCCGCTTCTTCTCGTCTTACAAGGGAGATTGTCCGATACCGCGATACCATTACACGAGATGGCAAGATTACCACCAAACTTTCTTGTTGAGCGTACAGGCGAGATATTGCTGTACCCTACAACTATTAGGGGAGACACACAGACAAAGTCTCCGCCAACAAAGATGAATATGTGCATAATGATAATCTAAATCTATCCCAGACTTTTATCTGTGGAAGAACAAAGATGAATATTTCTCATGTTTTTGGAAAAGAACGAAGGTATTTCGGAAATTGAACGGCACAGAGGGAAGACAAAGGCACCGGACACTTTTGGTTTCTTGCCGGGGTGATCGCAATGCGCCTATCTTAACTTCGAAGTAGATAGTTGCGTGGACCGTTACACAAAAGTTGCACCAAAAACATGCCTTGTTATATGCATGTGGTAGGTTTCGGCAAAAACTAGTGGTACCATATGCATGCATACAAGGCATGCAATTCTTCCCTGTTCTGCGCAACGACAATGCAATGCAGAAGGCTTGACTGCGTACCCTCAACAAACAAGCACCCAGGAGAGGAGAGTACGAATGGTTTGCTTGTTGGTTGTGCAGCAGATACCATGGCATCAAGGAAGACAAACAAACCAGAACGAATACTTGTATTTATCTCCCCTGTGAGACTGCGTCTAAAATCATCCGCGGAGCACGCAGAGATTGCTGGATTTGCTTCTTTCTTCTTTCCTTGGGCAGTGCTTCGCCTCCTTGGTCTCTCAAACCAACACGAGAGTGCTCGACCTCGCCTTCTACTAAATGGATGACGTTCACTGCCGCTGTACATAAACACCCAGAGTACATTTGCATACACAACACCCTCTCGTTGGTGCTATTGACTTCTGTAACTAGATATAGACCTAAGACCTAAGAACCTCTTGTTTCGGCAGAGGCTGGTTTCCTGATGTCTGGGGTCATGCTAGCATCTATGCATACGAATGGTCGTTATTTTGGTTTTTGTGTAGGGGTTTCACAAATTTCTTCAATTTGTATTTATTTATTTTTTTTAGGCTCCAGTTTCTCAACTCCTGGGTTCCAAGTGCAGGCGCGTTCGGTAGGGTAAGTTGTGCTTTGCCCGCGCGCACTGAATTGGTGTGCACAGTCGGCACCTGCTGCTACAGAGCCTTGGGTGGTGATGCAAGAACGGACCCCGACGAAATTCATCCAACGAAAACACAATTTGCACAACGATCCATTTTTTTTTTTATTCGAGTATACCTTGGGCTTCACGATCGACGAGGGAAAGGGATGGCTGAACCCACCTCGCGTTAAAAACTAAGGGAAGCACCGCAGGGGGAAAGGTGAAGCAAGAAAACAACCAATAAAATAAAACGCTCCTGTGTGACCTTCCTCTTGTGCTGTGTGACGCCGGCCGATTAAATTGTCAGCAGGTTATACACCGAAAGGCCTGTAGACCGGCGCCAGAATTGTAGGTGCGACGGACACGCACACGCACGTGACCACGGGAATCGCTCGGTCAAAGTGTTTGATTGATCAGTACGGGCAGACGAAGGCAGTGGGTAGAGAGATTTGCACGGTTTTTAATGTGAAGACAACAACAACAATCCGTCCGTTATGATAGCCTATTTTCGCTGTAATTACACCCGTTCCTCCGGTCTCGGCATCGATCTTTCTTTCGGCACTCTGGCGCACCCAACCGGGGGTGAGGGACTCATGCGTACGTTGGGGTACGGGCGGGACAAATCAGTTCGCGTGTGGAGACGGTGCAAGTAAATACCCTGCCTGTGAAGTACTTTATGAAGAATGGATATGGCGGTCTACACGGCAGCTCTTTGGCCGTTTTGAAGCATGGTGCTGCCTTTTTTTTTCGGAGAAATCGTTGCTCTCCGGATCTTCAGCAAAAGCCTGCTAGCACCGCCGCACTTGCGCGTGCCCGTTTAACGGAAAATCCCATCAAAGGCCATCGAGTTGGAACATGCAGAGGTAGAGCTTGCTGTTATTATAAACACCCCGCGAAATATTTTGTTGTGATTCAGCTGAAGTTTGGCTACCGTTGGTAAGAGGTTATGATCCTCATTGCGATGGCGAAAAAGGAAGAAGTCCCAGCATAGTACTAATATAGTGGAAGCGTCACCAGCCTGCCGGGCGTCTTCTACGCCTGTTTTAGTTTTGTGGACGGACAGCCGTTCGCGTGCACAGGCGAAGCCATGCCATAGAGCATGAACGAGAGAAAGAGAACCACAAATTCACTCAAAATTGTTGCTGCACTGGTTGGAGTCTGCGTACCCCCCTCGCGGAATCGTTACGTTGCAGAGTGGGCAGCAGGGGGCAGGGGATGGGCAGAAGTAACGTCCATGCAAGCATCTTAATAGTCTTGATGTGGACCCGGACACTCCAACCTCTTCCCTGTAGTCGCACCCATTCTGTCTCATATCTTTGTATGTGGTAGGAGTTGTTTTCTTCCGAAAGCGAAACTGCGTTCACCTCTTAGACTGCTGTCCCCGCCCCACCTGCTACCAATAAATATTGCCGTTTTCAGGAGCGGAAGAGGGACCGACTTTCGCCCAGCGCTGGCTCTTGGAACAGCCGACAGCGGCAGCATTAACAACAATAACAGCAGCAACAAGAAGTCAACCATAACGGCGGTGGAAGGGGAGGGGCCCTGCGGAGGGGGAGAGACCCTGCACACTACGGTGGTCTCGGGCAACGACGAGCTTGGAGGAGAGGCCAAGAGCTCCCCTTCCATCATGGAGCTCTTCGACACCAACGACGTCGTCGCCGCCGCGAGAGAGCAGGCCGCGGCGCGCGACAGCAACAAGACCGCTGCCGCCACCGCCGCCGCGGCCGACGGTGCCGCCGAGGCGTCGCCGGCGGCGGCGATGGCGAGGCGCCACAGCTTAGGCCGCGGCAGGAGCAAAAGGTATTCCACGGATTCGCTGAGGCCGTCGTCGGGGGCGTGGGACCACCGGAACGGGTTGCCCGCCCACAAGAAGGCGGCGTCGTTCTCTGGGGGGGTACCCCGCGCGGGCAGGGGTTCCGGGGGCTCCGTGGGGGGCGCGGAACGGCATGGGTACCTCAGTTTTTCGGAGGTGCAGGTGAGGCGAATGAGAGGGTTGGGTGGCCCGGGGGAAAAATGAGCGGAAATCAGATCTCGTACATGGACGCTATACGTTCCCGCATCCAGACCGCGAAGCGCCATCCCCAAACGCCCGAGACACCCCTCCTTGCATTTCCCGTACTCCAGTATTAATTACTACAATGCCTCCTCAGACTGTTGTAGATTGTGACGTCAAATGACCTGTCGGAGATCTACCTTCCGGGTATTGCCACAGATAGAGCCAGTGTATGCTGTACGCTGAACCTGCTGCAGCAGGCTCGCTTCCCCCCTGACTCACAACGCAACTATCCGTACTCTTCAGCCTCTCCACAAGAGTTTGAACCGGTGTGTATCCACGCCACACATCCCAAGGGGAACTGTCCACAGGTGCACCTGGAGACATCCGTCTCATAGTTCGAAGTAATACATTTGTTTCTAAGGGGTAGTCGCTTGCTCGTGGTCGGGTGCTGATGCTTTCGGGGGTTTTTTTTGTAATTAGGTGGACGAGGAAGACGACACCGATGATTGCCTCGGCCACAACAGTAGCAGCACCGCGAGCAGCAGCAGCAGCAGCAGCAAGTTCGGGCGGGAGATGCCGCACCGAAGGCGTAAGAAGCGGGAACGCGCGTGGAAGCTTTTCTTGGCGGTCATGCAGGAGCACGGGCTGAGGGTCCGGAAGTACCATCGCCACGGGAAAGGGTGGGCGCACCGTATAGTCAAGTACGATCCGACCCTGCCGGGCCTGCGATGGAAGAGCAGCAAGTGGTGGGACTCTGGCGGGGGGCAGGTGCGGTGTCTGCCTTATCAATCCTGTTGTCGTCTGGTACCTGCTGCAGCTGCTTTGCTGCTGCCTGCGGTTGGTTGTGTGGGTGATGATGAACTGTCACAGCTCGGAATGTTCCACCCGCCCGTGTCCCACTCCCAGTGTTTTTTTGCCACTCTTCTGCACGCGCATGTATCATACCGTCCTGAAGTCATTTTATTTCACGACCCCACGAAGACACGCCTGCCTGCATCCGACCAAGCCACTCTACCCCCTAGTCCTTTCAGTCCTCCTCTACCCGTCCAACTCTCTTAAGCATAGCCAACCATTGTTTCCCCCGCGATAAAAAACAGATACCGCTGCGGGATGTTTTGGACGTGGAGCGGAGGGGCAAGGTAGTGTGGGTCAAGTGCTTGCACCTCGGCACCATCGGCTTCGAGGCATCCCTTGAGACGGACGCGGTAGTCTTCTACCTGGCGATGGACTCGTTGCTCGACACCCGCTGCGGGGTCTCAAACAACAGCAGCGTCGGCGGTACCGGAGGCCACGGGGCGTCAGGCCCTCGCCTTTCGGGAATTCCGGCGGCGTAACGCCGTGATACCTCTGGGGGGGGGGGGGAGGGTGAGCCCTGTCCTCTCCGTGCACCGTTGTGTTGAGGGGTGCATCTATTGGGGAAATGCGCTTTTGTTTGCGTGCGTCTTTTTTTTTTTCTGGGAGTTGTAGAGACCCTTTTGGCTGTTTTGGAAACCCGTCTACTGTTTGAAATACCCACAAGAATTTGCTTGCGCGTCGCACCGCGGCTTTTTGGAGATGCCGCCCGCTGCCCAAGCCGCGTCTGACGGTTCCACTCTCTTTTCTGCTGGGCACCCGCGGCTGGAGTAGCAGCCCTATGCTATGCGTTTGCCTTGACGTGCGTGATTGAGGTACCTTTTTACGCCGTTGGCCGTACTCGAGGCACGCGCGTCTGGGGCACCACAGTTTCAGGTTGCCTGTACTCGGGGGCGGGGGTGGTCTGTCTGCCTTCTTGCGGACAGGTGTTGTTGCGTAGCGGCGGCGATTTCGACCAAGTGTGTTTTGTCTGTGGCGTTAGCGTGGGAACATCGGGGGGGGGGTAAGGACGGAGTGTGCCTGCCGCCGGCGGGGGAGACGCAAATGGTGACCGTAGCGGGGATGGGGTTCGTGAAATGTTGGCGGGGGGGGGGTGCCCAGGATTGCGAGGACCCCGCTGTCGAGAAAAAATCATCCCGCTTCGATCGGTGGACGGGCGGACCCAGGAGTGCCTGAGTCTGCATGTGTGAAACGGGAGAGAAAGGGGAGGGTTGCATTGCTCGGCACGGCGGAGAGCAGACAAACCCGCAAGCGTTGGGTTTGAGGCCGAGAGAAGTGCCATCACTTTTGTAGAGGTCGAGGGATAGGAACGCGTTAGTCTCGCGGGTTCCTGAGGTTTCGCACGCACGGTGGTGAATACGAGTGAACGGAAGGAAAATTGCCCTGCCTCGATGATCGTGCATGCAAAGCCCAGTGGAGGCACAAGAGTCGAGAGGCACGCCGAGAGGCACGCGACCGGGGGGAGGATGTAGACAAACGTAGCTTCAATGGCGGGTAGAATGAGGTAGGCAGACGCAGCAGCAGCAAAGCAGTCCCGAATATTAGGCGTCGCTGCGTGGCCGGTTGCCCCAACACATGCCTAGCAAGCCGCATTGGATGTGCTATGATAGACGTACGTGGCGGTAAACGTTCCTCTGTGTGTTGTGTGTAGCGCTCGCCCATGTTGAACACTTGCTGTCGTCCTCTGTGTTTTTTGCCTTGTTTTTTTCGTGTCGTTTTCGTTTGTGCAGTCGTCTCGTTTTAATTATGTACGCGGGTCTTGAAGCCGGGCCCGCGCGAGGGGGGGGGGGGGGTGGGGGGGGGCAGTCCGGAGTGGTGGTTTTGACGTTGACGGTCGCAACGTGTGCGGCAGGTTGTGTGCGCCACGATCTCCATATCGGTAGCAGCACTTTACGGGCGTGTGTTGGGTGGTTTTTGTTTCTCATGGCGAAGTTGATTAGAGGCTCAAGAGAGATGTGCATTGGGGAGGGGGTAATCTTGTTTTCGCGATGAATCCACCGATCCGACGAAGTTCCTTTTCTGTGTGCTGCTTTGTCGGGTGTTGGGTAGAGCTCGTTTGTTCAATATGCATGTGCTGGTTACTGTATGTATTTCTCGGACGGCTAGGAGCGTTTTTGTTTGCGCAACCCTTTACGTCTTTTTATTTATCCTCTCTTCGGACGTTGCGTGGGTAGCTACGATGGCTGTTTTGGTGGTGGTTGGCTGTCGTGGGCAGCAGTTAGTTGTACGTTGCGCACGTTTACTGCTAAGCTGTAGCTGCTCTTGTTGCTTGTTTGCTTTGTACATTAACCTCGGCGAGAAGAATGGCGATTCGTTTTTTGTTCCTGCGCTCTCGGCGGGGGTGGAGTCCTTGACAACTTTTTGTCTTGTGGGAGTGCTAGAATACTCTACTATTGCCCACTTTGGTGTCTGTCTTTCTTTGTGTGTGTCAATCGCCTTTTTTTAAAGAGTCATACCCATCCCCTTCTTGCTTGTTCGCGTCAGTGCAGTAGTAGCTGATTCCTTGGCACATGGTGCAAGTTCCCACGCAACGGTTACGGTCGGTCAGTGTCCGGCAGGGTCTCGCGTTGCCCCTGAGTTTTATTATCATGATTTATAATCTCTTCATACTCTTAGCTCTGTTTGTGTTGTTGATAAGGTGCACAAGAGAGTAGTGGTGACCTGGCCGGTGACAAGTGTTGCTTCGCGTGCCGTGCTTTCCTGCGCGCGACAACATTTGTCGGTCTCCTGGTCTCCTGTGATGCGGAGCTAGGTGGATACGAGTTAAAGCTGTTTTTTGTCCGAGTCCTGTGGGGAGGTCCCCAGTGTGTCGGTTCTCCCCAGTTGCAAAAGTACACCCTCCTCCATCTGCTGTCGTGGGAAGTTGCGGGTTGTTTAATGTTAATCGAACAAAAGCCGGTGGTGGTGCGGATGTCACGTAACTGTCCTTCGAGGTACCTGGTAACCGACAACATCGCGTTAATTGGGTGGTCCAGGCCGATCTATTTATGTCCCTTGAACGAACAATGATTTATTTGCTGTCCTGCCTTTCAAAATATTCGGAGGCAGCAGACGAAGAAACCATTCTGTTCCGGGCGGTGTATAAGAGGGCAACTGAATTTTCTCCACGGGAAACACCCGTCAGTGCAACAAGCCCTTTACACATCCTTTCCGGGCTTCAAGCCAGACACGCCGTAAAAATATCGTCAATTTTGGGCCCCACGAGCCTCTTTCTTGGCGCCGATAAAATGTTTAATGTTTGTTTGCACCTATACCCCAACCCCCCTCGACAACTAAGAGCCACGGGAAAAAACTTTTCAAGGTACATACGCATCCATCCGTGCAATTAACTTGGAAGTAAAATACTGGGCCCCGGAAAGGGAAACCGCGAAAAAAAACGTGGACGCTACATACCAAGATATCTCCGCCGCCGCTTTGCAAAAGAAGTTCCTAGCCAACAAACCGGACCAGAAAGAAGTACCAAAGACCAGCCCACAATTACTAATGTACATTTCTGGATCCAAAAATCCCAGCAGATGTGTAAGCCTGCTCCACGTCCACCAAAAACCGCCGTTCGTTGCGCGAACCGTGGCACAAGAGTTGATACGTTGATACCCACGACCGCTTTTGCCGTCATGTGCTAAACTTGTTCAAGCCACACACGTCCAACTCCTGTCATGCTTACCGTACGTGGTGGAGCATGTCAGCCAACAAGCAAAGGCCTCGTTGGCGTTTGTCTCCCGCACAATCAACACAGAATCGTGACCATCATGAGCATCACCAACCTCACGTCGTCACAGGCACACATGCGTCGGACCATCATTCCTCCTATGCACACACCTTCAACCACTCTCGTTTTTCACCCTTCCACGAGGAGACGCTCTTCCGTCACGCACAACGGGAACGTACGTGAGTCTATTACCGCTGCGAGCAAAAGTGACCCGGCAGGGTGTAGAAAACGGTTTATTGCTGGGGGGTCGCCCCCGTCGACCGACCCACAACCGCTGAAGGCGGAATGACGAAGGAAAAAAAAAACACAACAACGCAAAACACAGCAGTGCATACTGTACGACGTGGCTGATGCCCTCGCCAGACCCCCAGCACAAACAACGAGAGATGCTCGTTTTTGTTCCACACGAAATGATGCCACGGCAAAAGTTCGCTATTAACACGTGCCTCGGGAGTATACACTCGTACATGGAACAGGTAGCACAGTGGAGCCGTGCTACGGTTGGACACAGCCAATCTTAAAAGTTTCGTGCCTCTCTTCCCCACTCTCTCTGCCATGCATGCCTAGTATACATTGTGCGCAAACAAATTTGATGTTCTCTACAGTCCCCCAGCTCCTAAAAACAGCCCAACAACTACCAGAGAGTAAAGACACATTTTCAACGCCCGCGCCGGAGAAAGCAACCCACACATCTATACAACTCTAAATGGGGTACTTGGTACCTATACAATGTTGGGGTTCGTGAAGGATGCGTGAACAGTTGGAGTAAGCGTCAGGACGTGCATCCCCCCGCCGCGATCATCGTCGTGGCGACGTCTCCTCCGCCCCTCTTTCCCGCACTCCGCTCCATCAAGTCATGGACACCGCGAAACTGACCAATTGACCGCATGGGCACAACCAATACGCGGAACGCAGGAAGGCTCCTCGCACATACGCGCAGAGAGCCCGGGATACGATCAACGCCTCAGTCAACATGACCTCCTTCAAGATGGCCCGCTTGTCACGCCCCTGCCTTTCCATGCCCTTGTTGGGCAGACAATAGTAACGGCTGCAAAATAAAATTGCGACGCTGACGTCATCCCGCACCATGTGTCACGACAGAGCACCCGCAACAGACATGCACCCCCGTTGGAAACCCCCCGAACAACAAGTGTTAGCCACAAAAACACCGCGTGTGGTCTGGCGCGCGGCGCCACACTGGCCGAGACAACACACGCATATATCACAAAGAAGCCACATCAAGCCACGGGTTCTTCGCCGGAGGAGAAGGGGAAACGCTCGCACCCGGCGACAACTCGCTGCTGCAGAAGGTGGCGGTGCTGCTCGTGCCCGCGCTCTCCCCGCTGCACTCCCTCCGCTGCATGCCGAAGAAGGCACGGCCGGTGCCACGCTTGTGGCCACCACAATCGTCGCCCTCCCTCGACCACGATGACCCGGGGGTACCATCGACGAGCGCCAGCCGCGGCAGGGGCTCCGCGCACGTGGGCGGGGGCTGGCCGTGGTAGACGACCAGGCCGCAGAATATCACCACGAAGGCCACGAAATATAGCCAGTGCGGGGTGGCGTGCTCCACCAGGACGGAGAAGAGGAGCGCGTACACGTCCGAGGTGAGGAGGGATAGGTTGAACATCGCCGCGTCCCCCGCCTGCAGGAAGAGGGACGTCCAGCTGTACAGCACCGACAAGCTGCGGGGGAAACACACATCGACATCGTGGGTGTTCCGGTGTGTAGGCGGCGGCGGCGGCGGCGGTGATGGGGGGACGAGCGGAGGGAAGCCGGGGCGCGAGCAATAAAATTAGCCAATCGCGTCCACGTCGACAACGTTTCCAGACGAAAAAAAAAAAAAAAAAACAATGAGGGTCTAGACATACTAGGATATTTACTGTAGCTAGCCTTCTTGAACCCTACTGTATATTCGATTGGTGCAAACAAGCTGGCTTCGCAGCTGACCTCCCGCATCTTACCATCTCAATGACGGTGAACCTTTCCGCGTACATATCCGACAAAGCTTTGCAATTGACCTCCCAAAACTAAAACCGTGTCTTGAGGGTCAAGGGATGTGTTCACAGCCTTGTCTCCTGAGCACCAACCTCAAGGCGTATCCGAAGGTGAAGAGCACGACAGACCGCGTCCACTCAACCTCCGCCAACAATTGCTTCTCCAGTGCAAGCGTCTGCACGCCGGATATAACAGTGCCGAAAAGCCCTGCCATGCCAAGGAATTCCCTCTGAGAAACGGCGCAGGGAAAAACACGAAAGAAACACACACACACACAAACACACAACACATGTAAAAAGAGGACGAAGTTTAGTCAATATATTCTCGGCCCTTTCACACTCGAACAGGCTCAAGCACGGTAGTGAACGTGTTGGCCTCTCACGGACGGTGTGACAACAACAACAATAGTTCGCCGCCCCGAGAACATCTCGTCCACGTTGAGATGGCGCACGATTCACGAACATAAGGTCTTCACCGACATCTTCTAAACTTAATTTAACGACACACGCACGTCCGATGAGGACCCTCTTCGTGCCTCCCTCTCCTGCTAGGGCTATCAGGGGGGTCCAGAGATACAGACAGATAGGGCTGGCGACGAAACTGTCGGGTCCACGCACACTCGGAGAGCGTTGCCGTTCGTACGTCGTTGCCTTTGACCCCAGATTGGAACGGACGGTACTTGAGCAAGAAACAGCGACGGCAACCCACCCGGTTGTAGTTCTTGACGAAGTCTTCCTGCATGACGTTGGAGCCAGCGTACAACGTGGCCCCGAGGATGCAGAGCACGTCTCCCTTGAACGCGTGCGGGTGGCCGCTATCCGCCTCGTCTCCCTGGAGGTCGGACACGATGGTCAGCGCTAGCCCCACCACGCACAGACCTACCCCCGTCATGTGCTTCTCATTGTACTGCGCTCGCAACAGCAAGCGCGACAGTATCATCACGGCTGGAGTGGCGGGGCGGGGCGGGGGACCGGGAGAGCGTCAACAAGGTCGAAGGAGCATTGCACGTGCACGCCCGAAATAAAGCGAGAAAATGTGCAGAAAACACGCTAGTTTGGGGGGCAGACCAAGCGAACCCGCCCGAATAACACTCCCGCCCGGTAGGTGACACACGATGCGATTGTCGATTGTTGTGCCCGCACGTAGCAACTGCACCACCATTGTGGATTTCCACGCTGCGAACCTGTCCTGCCATACATTAGTTATAGATTCCGAATACCGGGCCGCCAACCAGTGGCATCAGGACAACGGCATGTAATCTGTGTGTGCCAGGCTTTTCGTGCTCTTTTTTTGTTAGCCCACAAAACACACACACATGCGGGTGGTTTGTTGTGCGTGTGCTGTACCTACATCCGTCCGTGTGTTGTTTCTGTCACCTTCCCTGGCGCCAGCCTACACATCTTCTTCTTCGGTGGTAAACTCCGTTCGACTGATCAGAGTATCGGTATCAGCCGGGGTCATTGTTGGGAAGTGAGAAGCAGATACCAACCGCCGATCGTGGTTGTATAGGGCAAAAAAAACGATCCCTTCGTGATAGTAAGCACTTCACATGTCCAAGATACTTGGCAAAAAACGAAATTGTAGAAGTAGTTTCCTTGATCGCGCTTTTCACTGCTGCTGATGTTGTCGCTGGAGCGAATGAAGCACAAAAACGATTCGTTGGGTAGAAAATCATCTCCTTTCACGGATACATGACACTCTCCTTCAAGGATACAGCGCAATTCCATCAAGCGTACAGTAGTGTGTATATTACAGCAGTGGCAAGTCGATGGCAGTCACCAGGGCACGTCCGAATTTTTAATTTTTGACAAGAAGAATTGAAGTCAAACCTTTTCGACGACTTCAACCTTCGACGAATTCAACCCCATTTGAAACATCGACATGGTGGCGACCGACTTCCTAAACCAGCAACGATTCAGCGTTTTGCGGCACCACGAGCACAACCACACCACACACACACACGGCCATGTGGCGGCCATATTCACCAACTCTATTTTCTTTTTTTTTGTTCTTCACTTCAAATCAGCGCTCACAGCACTAGTGCCGTTTGTTCCAACCCGTGGTCAGACAGAAGAGCCTATCTCTTCCCTCCCCTCTATGCATACAAAATGTACGACGGAATAGATTTGGAGATGCCAAAAACCGGCAGTGAATACTTGTACTTGTATGCTATGCATACGCCGAAGCTCCTTTTGCAGTGTGCCCCTCACGTTTTCTCTCTCCTCCCCGAGCATGACACAGAGATAGAGGATGTGTCCCAAAGCACGGAATAGCAAAGCTGTGGGTTTGCAAGTGGTTGTATCCGGCGGGATGCATATTTACATGTAATGATGCGCATTTTCTTCGATCGTCATAAACAAACACTTTATTTAGCAACGCGGCGGCAATTATCTGTTACCTAAATAAAGCACACAACCCCCACGAGATGGGAGAAATCCATATGTAGCACAGGAGGAAGGATGCGACTCCGTGAGGGGGGGGATGGACTGGATGGACTCTGCAGCCCCAAGCTGCTGATCACCCCCCCCTCCCAAGCAAACAACCGTGGCTGTTTGTTGTTTTTACTCTCTTTCAGTGTGCCGGTATGCATACGTCGGGGTGCATGAGAACAACGCACCATGTATTTTCTTCGCGCGGCAGGGTATATAACGTATAACCCAAGCGCAGACCATGCTCACCAGGAATGCTGAAGGCGTCGAGCATCGCCACGCTCGTAATCGACGTGTATCTGTAGGCCAGCACCGCAAGCGTGTTGGCTTCCACGTCAACCTTTCGTCACGAAGAGCGGGGGGGGGGGGGGGGAAACAAGCGGCCTCACACCAAAAACAAAAAAAAA